GGAAAGACAGACCTAATTTTTTTTGTTAAAGTTGGGTCGCTGTAGCAAATTCTCCCAGCCCTACCCCCGGCTTCCTGAGTGTTTTTGAAATGACTGTTTCCATGATGAAAACAGCGTTCAGTGCTGCTCGGGGACGGAGTGCCCAGTCTGGCTCGGCGCTGGAGGATATGGGTTTCATTATGTTCCCCTCTTTTCCTGCTCTCAGGATGGGAGCCTGCAGTGTCCCACCTGCAAAACCATCTATGGGGTGAAGACGGGGACACAGCCCCCGGGGAAGATGGAGTATCACATCATCCCTCACGCGCTGCCTGGCCACTCTGACTGCAAAACTATCCGCATCATCTACAACATCCCTCCAGGGGTGCAGGTGCGGCCCAGCCCTATGCCCAGGGGGGTATATGGGTGGTCCCGTTTAGGGGCTGGTGGCCCTTGTCACCGCTGTGTCATCCCTGGGTCATGCTGCAGCTCATGCTTTGACTCAGGGCTCTGGGTTCAACAACGTCTTGGGAGCTGCGTACCCGTAAGGATGTTGTGGGTGGTCTGGGGTACGTCTGCATGAAAGTGTTGGCCCTGTCTGCTTGGTGCCAAGGGGGGACAGTGGCGTTTAGGGCCACCATGCTGGAGCGTGGCTGCCCAACACAGCAGTGAGCAGCTCCACGTCCACTGAGGGTGCGGGGTTACCTTGTGCCCAGAGCATCCTTCTGAGCTCCAAAAGGGTTTTGTTTCTCTCCCGCTCCATGCACTGCAGGGACCGGAACATCCAAACCCTGGGAAGAGCTTCACTGCCCGTGGCTTCCCCCGGCACTGCTACCTGCCAGACAGCGAGAAGGGCAGAAAGGTGAGGGCCTCACCCAGGCGGCTGTAGCTGGCCAAGGCATGCTCGAGGGCGTATCGAGGGGGAGAGGGAATGAGCAGCTCTTTGGAGCGTGGGGAAAAGCAGATAGGGCTTACGCAGGCGAATCTGGGTGGAGGTTTTCCCTGTAGCCCATCCGGCACGCTCTGCAGGAGCCCGCTGATGTCCCCATCCTCTGGGGGAGCTCTGCAGCCTGGTCCCACCACGTTGGTTGGGGTGGGACCCTGTGCTGGGATCCTGAGCTCCCTGGGAGAGCTTGGCTGTGGATTGCCCACATTGCCAGGATGACCAGGTGTGCCCTGAGCAGGAGCGAGTGCTTCCCACAGCGTCTGCCTTGCTGCCTGCCCCTTCTTTCCTCTCCACAGGTACTGAAACTGCTGCTGGTAGCCTGGGACCGGCGCTTGATCTTCGCCATTGGGACTTCCAGCACCACAGGCGAGTCAGACACAGTGATCTGGAACGAGATCCACCACAAGACAGAGTTCGGCTCCAACCTCACTGGCCACGGCTACCCCGACGTCAACTACCTGGACAATGTCCTCGCCGAGCTCGCAGCCCAGGGCATCACGGAGGAGAGCCTGGCGCAGGAGAAGGACTGACCGCGGCGGGGAGGCAAGGGAAGTGGCTCCCGTGCCCCCGCCCTGGGGATAAAGCTGCTGGAGAAACCCCCCTGGGGGACTTTGCAGGTGGCCCCTGGAGCCCCCCGCTCTCGGGGGCGCCCGCCCAGTGGGGGCTTCCTCGGGCTGGCTGGGGGTGCGGGAGAAGGTCCTTTTGACCGTCCCCACCGCTCCTGCAGGGAGGGAGCCTCCCCCCACAGAGCCGCGG